AGTTTACAAGAGTAGCTGAATCAGAAATTGAAACACAAACCAACACTTTGGCATATGTAAAAGTGGTGAATTTCTACTTAGCTTACATATTTACAGAACCTAACTGGTGATTGAGGGCTTAAGCCGAAAATACCCAAAATTTTAAGTGTTCTGGGTAAGTTTCCAACGTCTACATCCATTTTCAGCCGTTAACATATTTAACTCACATGGTTCGTTTTACCATATTTTTGTTTTCGCTCTTTTCCGACGAATAAAGCACCAACTTTCTTTCGATTCCGTCTTCAGTTTCAGTTGGTAGTCTGTATGCCTTCTACTCTGCCCAAAGCATGCCCCTCTAGACTTCCACTGGCACTCCATCATATAAAGTCGCCTTATGCACATGCGGTTGTTTAACTAATAGAGTGAGAAGCGTTCACCAAGAATATCTATTTATCATCTACGGACAAAGTTAAACATTTCCCCGCGAACATATCTCCTTTTCTCTGCATGCAATTTCCGAATTGAAGTTTCATTAAAACTAATATTTATTAATTCCTGTTTCCCAGATAAGTCCTACGCATTTACTACTGACACCATGACCTTCGCTTTCTTGAGCAACTCTAGCAACCTTATTTTGCTGAACTGAACTCAGGCTCACGCTTTCAAGTAGCAAGTTGGTGTCGGTGGTCTGATGGCTGTTAGCTCCCAGCCTGCCCCTACCGATTTTCAGGTAGAATTTTCTGCTCTTGTAATTCAAAAAGTTACACCAGTACGAGTCATGCGTGCCTGTGAGATAACTGTGTAATTTAAGGGCAAAATCTGGAAAATGTATTAAAGAGTGCAAGCCTCCTGACAACATTATACTAGCCTTGGTCCAACCTTTCTCTTTTATAAGTGTGGAAAGCTCACTGCACCAAAATCAAGCCCGCTCCACAGTCTTAGATGCCTATTTGAGACGCGGTTATCCTACATATTTTGTGATGTGCTCATGATTTTCATTCTCTCGTGTAAGACATGAGCACACTGGCTATTGGTTTGAAGTAGACGGTCCGGCTACGTAGTCTGAAAGTTAGATATACGTAGGATATGTATATACTTGATCTACGATTCACTTTTGAAACTGTTTGAGATCTTTGTAGCCGTTTATCTGTCGCATCCAGGGAGCGCTCAAGCCGTTTATTGGAAGCGGCATCCAAATCATTGAGATCCGCATGCTCCCTTCTGTTCCATCTTATGTAAAGTCATGTGTGGAGTAACATTAGTATGATATGTAGCAACTCACCTGTAATTAGTCCGTACAACTTTGAATTGCATAGGGGAACATTTTTCTTACGGTCCTTGTGGGGTGACATCATCGTCAAATGCTGCATAGAATATGCGTTTCACAAAATCATCAGTATTTTAACTTTCAAGGCGGGCCATAGCTGACGCCTGGACAGGATATCTATAGACATAGTTTTGTGGACATCACGTTTAAGGAGCTTGGGACATTCCCGTTTCGCTGGGCGTTTGTTCTTTTGGCAGCTAGATAGCGTCCGAGTGAATGGGATCGTCTTACCGTAACGTTTGGACGTGGCAGGTATGGTATCTGCGCAATATGTTTTCCTGCCGTCTGCCGAGGTGTCTGCCTTAACATAACGTTCGGGCTTGGGTATGGCTGGCTGACGACGGCTAATAAGCCAGAAATGGCCATTCCAGTCTCCCTTGTCTTTGTCGGTAATACTATTCTGCCTATATATCATGCGCCGCTGTGCGGCTGCTGGTTGGGCTCGAGAGAGAGTCCATAAGGCACAACGGAACGAGTGAGTTCCGTATGAACGATCGGTGAGCGCCCCCTAACATTGTATATTCCCGATCGAAAACCGACAAGGCAACGGGCTCGTGGCCCGGTGAGTAGAGGCGTTGACTTCTAAACCAACAGGTCGCGAGTTCGAGGCTCGGGTGTTCCACACTTCGGGCTTGGGTATGGCTGGCTGACGACGGCTAATAAGCCAGAAATGGCCATTCCAGTCTCCCTTGTCTTTGTCGGTAATACTATTCTGCCTAAAATGATCAAAATTAACCAGATACTTTAACAACAAAAGAAATGAAGTGGGCAGCTGTAAATTTAGGCCAGCAGAGTCACGCCCGCGCACGCGCACGGCAGAGTAAATCGTAATGGCACCCATCGCGTGACGCACACTCAGCACGACAAGTTCGCCAGCCTATCAAAGGGGAGTGCAAAAGGGCAACTGACCAATGAGAACGATATGGACGCATATCTCGACAAGCGGCCATACAAGTATATCGCGTCGATATCGACATGCTATTAGGGACGTGTTCGCCAAACCCTCAGCGCTAATCCATATGGACTGTATATGCAGACGCCTCCCCAAAGATATTACGGGAAATGTTTCTGTGGTCGACTTTCTTTGGCGACTATCAATAGAAGAACCGGGCCCTAGCTGTTTCGGGTGGATTTCTCGCCGACCCCGCCATCCGATTTCTTTAGCCATGCGAACATCGTAATTGGCTACCTGAGTGTGCAGAAGACTCAGACACGTGTCATAGAAGGTGTGGATTTACTTGCAAGAACCGTCGCCCTCGGGTTTCGTTCGTGGCCTACTCCTGAAATACCATAAGTCTTGCAAGCAGCCGTAAACTGCCCTATTTTTGCTCCTTGCGCCCCAGAGTCTGGTAATTTCGGACATAATAGCTAACTTGAATATAGCGCCTTGGTTGCGGACTCGCTCAGTAGGTGGCGAGACTCATGAGACGCTTACAAATACTCTAAATACGCCTTCAACAGGCAAAATTACTCAGCTGAGGTCGCAAAACTGGCCAACCGGGAGCAATATCCTAAGGTGATTCGTCATACACAACCAAATTTTGTCTTTCAGCTGCTACCTAATTCGTTCACTTATGTCAAACACTATCAGGAAGAAACATTTGCCCTATCTGCATACATTTTCAAAGTCACTCTGGGGGGAGTAAGTCAAAGACGGCTTTTCCTGTCTCCACCCCCGGTCGTAAGTATTTACCGATCTTTTGCTTAACGTCACCATGCGACTGATCGCGAGAGTTCTTGACCGGGAATGCAAGCAAGAACGGAATGTCCGTATTCCATCTAGCAGTCAAATCCAATAATTGCGTATTTTAGTTGGATTTAACTGCCTGCATAAATACAATAACCCTTACTACATTTATGTAAAAACCAACTTTAAATGCTCATTTTGAACCACACTACTTCTCTAAAACGATATAATCTTGCCTTCTATTTATACTTTCCTTATATCCCTTAACCTTCGGGTCTATTTATCACTTACTGCGTTGAAGTAAATGGCACCAAAGAACAAAAAGGACGCCAGAAAAAGCGGTCCAGCCGCTACTGGGGTCTTCAAAGGAGACGAGATACCTCCAACAGCAGTTGTCATTGCTGAAGACCTTGCCAGTCGCTTTGAGCCGCTCGCCTCCCATGTTCCGCATTGTCTGCTTCCCCTGGCGAACGTACCACTCCTTCACTTCCCTCTCAGTCGACTCATTTGCGATGGCTTCCGAAATATCATCATTTATGCCTGTCGACATGCTGATCACATCAGTGCCTTTGTGGAAGCCAACAGTTATGCCAAGCGCGTGCCTAATCTCTCCGTCACTGTCTTCAACGGAAGTAGCAGCCGATGCATGGGGGATATCATGCGGGACCTGGAGGTGAATCAGTTGCTTCGCGGTGTGGAGGAGTTTGCTGTCGTGCCTGCGGATCTCGTTTGCGACGTCAATCTTGGCGCCCTGTTGGCGCGTTTCAAGGCACTTCGTAGCTCTGAAATGAGCACCACTGTCATGAACCTCGTACTCGCTGATCTGCCCCAATTCGCGCCCTCAGACACAGAGCGCCTTCAGGTGGTCTACTCCATGCCTGGCCGAAAACTTATCCAGTTTGTTCGCCATGACCGGGATGTACCCATAACGTGTGGTGGCGACCTCTTTCGGCCTTCAATGAAGGCCAAGTCTTTGGAGATCCGATCGCGGCTATTGGATCCTAGAATTCTGCTTTGTAGCGGCCACGTACCTCCCCTCTTTCAGGTTAGTTAGATATCATCTCAGCGTTTGTGATAACAGTATTTTACCGCATTGGAGCTATAAATGGCCATATGCTGTGCGCCAGTAATCGAGCTCATTCGCCTACTCTTGGTAGCAACAGTGATTTTCCACGATGTTTTTTTAGAGAAGCTCGCAGGAGCTTTAGAAGAATAAGACTCCATTTTTTATGGGCTGTTTAAAAATAGAGTATCAGTAGCCGAATGTTATACTGCAAGTAAAACATGTATGTTTCTTTAATTCGCCGCAAAGACGTGCTAATACGCTCCATGGCCTCTTAGGATATTTCATGTGGCGTAATTTGGGAAAGTAGAGAGTTGTTCCGCTAGAATAGATCTTTTAAACGATGGCGATGAATCGCCAGCTCAAAATTTCTCGTCCAGTTATTCTGTCACACTCGTCGTCTTGGCAAGTCAATCGACCTTCCTATCGTGCTGATTTCCATGTCCAACCTATTCTAGTCTGATTGACTTTGCAGGCAAAATTACGAGGCAGCCGTCTTACGCACAGAAGTCTGACGGTGGGACAGACACCTAACGTAGTCATGAGGTAAACTCTGGACAACGAGCGGCTCGCACAGTCAGAAGACTTCTTCCTCGAGCCGGAGTTTGACTTCTAACCTGAATTATTTCCTTATGCTTTGCTTCTAAACTGCTCTGACAACTGCTAACTGGGCGATTTGGTCGATATTCTCGTATTTCGTGTCTTGAAAGCGATCTGTCTCTTGTAATGGCGTACTTTACCGAGTGGCTGTCTCCTTATGACAGGTGTTTCGTCGACTTTGTGTCACCCACCTCATCACAATGGTCGCTTGAGTGAAAAGACTTAAGCCAAACTGAAAAATTGACTGTGGGGACAATGAGGCGAATCTGTGCGCAAATAAGGGCATTTTGGCCTCTTTCCCAGCTTCGCAGTGTTGCAAATTCCAGGTTAACAAGAGCAGGTTTTTCCGAAACTCTTCGGCTCATCACTGGCTCTTGCGTAATTTCTTTCGGTGTCTGTTGATGGATAGTCTGACAACGCAAGATGGCACGACCTGACCACTGTCTTTGCTGTCGTACTTATATCGTATGTTTTATTCACGCCCTATGTGATACCAAACTTATTGCCTAAATCGTTTCTAATACCTCTATAACTGACCACCAGCAACCACCTTTCGTTTTTCCTTCGCCCGTGTTTTATTTTCCTTTGGAGTTAAGGCTTCTTATATCAACCCCTGTTTATTAACCCTCTCTTTCCATTGTCAGGATAATTTCGATTACGACTCTATGGATGACTTCGTGCATGGTGTGCTGACCAACGAAGAGATCATGAACTACACCATCCATCTAGACTTCATTCGCCCCGACAAGGTTGTCCTTCCTGCCGCTCCAAATTTAACCCATCTCCTCGATATTACACCCCGTCTTCTCACCCGCCTGGGCAGCGCCATAATACAACCGCCAGTTTACCTGTCCACAGGTGCGCTGGCTCGCTTGTCTGAAGGATTGATCAATCACTTCACAAAGGTTTGCCATCCACCGGTTGCCATCTCACCATCGTGCTACGTCTCTCGGTCTGCTCGAATTCATCCGACAGCCCGCCTGATTGGCGCCTGCGCGATTGGAGACAACTGCCATGTGGAAGAGGATGTCTGCCTGATCAACACCTGTCTCGGAGAAGATTGTTCCGTTCGAGCGGGATCTCGACTGAGGAATGTCGTTGCCGTCGCCAGCGTGACGATCGGACAAAAAGTGATTGCTGACCAAACTTGGATATGTCCGCAGGCGCGCATTCTTGACGGAGTCCGTTTGGGACCCAAGTGCTTTATTGGTCCTCCTGCAGCGGTCCCAGAGGGGTTACTTGACGATCCTAAAATGCGCGGTTCGGGCGTTGGCGTGTGCATAGGACCCAATGTCACACTCCCACCAGAGTGCGTTCTCGTGTCGCCAGGCCCTAACGAAGTACTTCTTCCAACAGAAGTCTGTGGTTCGAAGGGGTGGGCCACATACTACCAGCCCTCTCGTAGTAAGGTTCGTTTTCGCATCCACTGTATTGTATCCTGAGGATTCCAAATACCTTCTTTCATCAAAGGCTCGGTAGTCCAAACGCACCCAACTCTTAACCAAAGACTTGAACTAAATTGTCGATTTCTGTGACTTGCCTTATCTCAAGTTAAACTGAGAAGAAATTCATTCACATCCTCGAAATCCCTGGGAACCAGACTAAATTTCCGTCTCAGTTTGAGACAAGGCATCAAAAAAATACGATTTTAAGGCGCACAAGGGTTTTTCAGAATTAAAACGACTGTAGACCTGACCGCATTTATGCGGCCGTAGTATAGCTTGTGCCACGATTTGCCCGAACCTCCATTTGTGCTGAGTGCCACCATCACCTACTTGCACTTTAACGGAATTCGTTATAACTGAATCAGCCGTCCCCGAATTTCGGGTTCAGTGCATCATAAATGATCGCTCCTCCCTACGGCAGTCGGTTGGCGGCGGACTTCTGAGCGAATTTGAGCCAGTTAGCATTCTGCTCCCTGGGCCGAAAACTGCAGGTCTGGAGGCACACTCGAGGTCAGCTCTCAGCTAGTCTAACCACATCTTCAACTAATTGCCTCAACGCCGTCGTCAGCCATGGCAGGCTTCGGACGGTATACCATCATGGACGATTTCGTCTTCAGCCCTGCGCAACACATGACCCGGCTACCTCGGTCAGTGGTTGAGAAGGGTGTGTTTGGCCGAGAATCTTCCTGTCGTTCGCGGACGGCACTATCGGAGAAGCCAGTTCGGTGAAATGAAGTAAAAGCACCATCAACTGGACACGTCCAAGCGTTTGACGCCTTCTGTACACACGGACCATGTCTCACATCAGTGCGAAGGATTTTGTTAAACGTTTCCTTTTGCTCGTAACATCTAGGTGATCTCACGCCTACTCTGTGGGTTTAGGCTGAGTTGAACGAAGGTCGCGTGCCCATAATCAATCTGATGATCGATTTTATCCTTATCATTCCCATTTGGCAGAAAGTGCTATCCAAGGTAGCAGAAACCGTCCATTAACTGAGGTTTCGTCGCCCGCTATGCCCGGACGATATCTCTGACCGCTAAGCCCTAGGCGTTCATCTTTTCTTTGGTCTCTTCGCTTCTCAGGCCCACTTTTCGGACGGAGTTCTTTCTAGCTGGCCTCCTGTGTATGTTAGTCAATGGCACCGCATCTTTGTTATTCGAATGGATAATCATTGCTCTTGAACGCATTGGTTATGCGCAATACTAAAGTGCGCACCTGCACGTTCTGACCCATGCACGAAGAAACTGGGTTTCAAGACCCCCTTCTAGGCCTTTTGGGCGAATCAAAAGGTTAGATGTTGTCTTTATAGCTTATGACTCCAATACGCATGTTCGTCACCCCGCATCGAATACCCGTCTGACCCGTGTCCACTGTGGTGTCCGTTTCGGGGGAGACAACAGTTGAGTCAGTCTTACACAATCTTGCTCGAACTGATGACTCCTCTGGGGCAAAATCAAGGCAACGTTTTGCCCCGGACCCCGCCACGCTCTTGACTTTGGCCTTTGGTTGATCGGACCTCCGTCAGCTCTTAAACAGTCTCCTTAATTAATAGTGTTGGGAATAGTAAAATTCATTGATATTTTGGCAGATTTTGAATAATTCATATTGACCCAACTGTGAAAAACTCGGCGCCTCGGTGGGATTCGAACGCAGCCAGCCAGCCTGGTAGTCATCTGGTGGATTCTAGGTGAATTACTTAGGAAATCCTGCTTGGGCAGTCAACTTACTGTATCAGATTTTGTGGATTCCAGACGTTGCAGTAGGTTGGGCGGGTAACTTGACCCAAATGTGATTAAACTCGCGTCGTCCGGCGGGGCCTCGTAGCGGGGCCTCGTTAGAGCGTTGGCTGCGCTAAAGCCTTCCCCTTACTGCGCAGGTTCGAATCCCACCGAGGCGCCGAGTTTTTCGCAGTTGGGTCAATATGAATATTAAAATTGCACGACCAGTCATGCTTAGACGCCATGTCTAAATTTTTCGCAGATGTATGGGTGATTTTTTTTCAAAATGGAGGGCCAATTCTCCCTAACCATCTCAGCAGTATCTGCGTCTACAGAAGGCCCGTGCGCACCAAACCTTCGTAGGATGGTAAGGGAGACATTGAAACTCTGTCATTTTCAGTTGGCAATATCGCTTTATGAATACTTCCCCCGTTTCTGGTAGCCCACGCCTTCCTTCTTTTTCCAGCTCTCAATCTCTGCAGAAGGCGAAGATATCGGTAGCAGTTCCGACGATGAGAGCTTGGATGAGACTGAGGTTGTTCTCTGGCGCACTGGCTGGAGCCCACGTACCGCATCTCGCAGCCGTAATACTAGTCGCCTCTACAGTGGTGCCAGTGAGGACGCCCTCTCGACACAGGCGGAGACTGCACGCGCACGCACAAAGAGTACCGGTGACGAAGCCGAAGAGAGCGAGAAAGAAGAGGGGGAGGTTTCGGATGAATTCCTCGTTCAAGAAATGTCGAAGACCCTTCAACGCAGTCTTTATCGACAACAGCCAACTGAGGTTATAATCCTTGAGGTGAACTCCCTCAAGCATGCCTACAATATTTCCATTGATGACTTGATCTTCATACTTATCAAAGCTTTGTTGGACCTGACAGCTAGTCAGGTCAAGGCAAAGGAGACTACCGAGCCTCGCGAACAGGTCAAAGAGTTTGCTCTCAGCTTCAAGCATATACTCGGTCAGTTTAAGGAGGTGTTGGAAAAGTACCTCGGAAGTTCGGAGACCGGCAGTCAGTTCTGTTTGCAAGCCGTTGAAGACCATGCCTGCTACAACCCATTAGTGTTAGAAGCTGGTCAGTGGCTTATTCACGCCCTATATGATGCCGATCTTGTAAGCGAGGAGACGATACAGTGGTGGGTGAAAGAATCGCCCCTGCTGGCCGACGAGGACCTTACCGAGAAGACCACTGCTCTTCGCGAGAAAATTGCGCCCTTCCTGAAGTGGCTTGAGGAGGCCGAAGAGGAAGACGACGATGAGGAGGAGGAAGAGGAAGAAGAATAAGACTCCCGGGTGTATATGCCTCTGTGATTATTTAGTAAAAGTCTTGTTATACCAATTATCTCTTTATTGAACAAATCCAGGCAGGCCGGGGGCGGTGCATCACAAGGAATTGAGCGCGATAATCTTCTTCCTATTCAAGTTACGAACCAGTTTGTTCGTCCATTCATCCGCCCTCCATAGCCCTTCTCAAGTTCTTTTGTCGTTAGTTTTTCGCATATTACACTTGAATCGATTCTATATTATTTTCCGGCTTAGAATGAGGTATTTCTTGGTGAGAGAAAGCGTCCAGACGTTCAACGCCCCCCTGTGCTCCTGCCCAGTCAGACTTGCAACCCCATGACCAGCGAGTCTTCCGTAGACCTTGAGTTCGATTATGATAATTTGACTACAGACGGCGCTGTTACCATTGCCTCGAGGGCGCAGTGGCGATTTGCACGGGACCCTATTTATGCTGAAGCATATTTGCCCAACATGTATCTCACTCCTTGCTGCTTCCTAACTCTACACGAACCTGTCCTCGATTACAGTAGGTGGGCTAACTCATTAAATGTCAACCGAAATTCCGAAATTAGTTTTTGTTTCGAAAAGACTAATTAAGTATGGTTGTAAAACTCACCATCATGCGGAATAATTCTAAAATACTTCAGTTACCTCAGGATGCCGGTTTTCGAACGAGCTCATTTTTGGCTGCCTGCAAAAACTACTCTGTAGAAAATGACTACTTAAGTAGAACGCATTTTTTCCATTGATTTTCGATGCCTTTAAAAATTCAGTCATATGTTATAGGGAACATGCATAAAAACAGCCATTCCTATACTCATTCGGTAGAAAATTACGTCTTCTTCCAATTTTATGCTCGAAGGAAGGGCGGAATTCGGTTTTAAAAAAAGTTTCTAATCGTGAGATTTTTTAATACCGCGAAATGGCCGTTCATAAAACGTCATGTCTCTGCATTTACTATTGGGTCTTGTAAGGTTAACAATATGGCTCATATCCACTGCCAAATTGTACGAACCCCATATGGTCTCCTCTTAGCACCGTAGGGAAATATATGGTTTTCCATACGTGGAAAATATACGGTTTGTAGTTTGGTAATCCCGAATGCAAGTGTAACCGCAGGTCGGGGTCCAAAACTATTCGGGAATTGGAAAAGCCTTTGAAAATCGAATTATACCTTTCCTTCGAAATTCAAAATGGGAGAAGACGTAATCTTCTACCGAATGAGCGAGAGGATGGATATTTTGATGCATGTTTTCCACGAAATATAATTGAATTTTTAAGGGCATCGAAAATCAATGAGAAAAATGCATACTACTTACGTAGCCATTTTCCACAGAGTAAAGATTTTGCATGCGGCCGAAAAGAGGTTCGTCCGAAAGCCGGCATCCTGGGGTAACTGAATTATTATAGAACTATGCTGCTCGATCATTAGTTTCACAATCCTGTTTAATTAATCTTTTCGAAACTAAGACGCATTTCGGAATTTCGGTTGACATTTCATGCGTTAGCCCACCTACTGTGAATGGGGGAACCATTGCAGCCTGAGTCCTAAGTAGGACCAAATCATCCTGTCGGTCGACTATCCTACAGACTGAGGCTTTTAGCCTTATGTGGCATTTTCGTGCACGTCACGTTTAGGACGGTGAGGATTGTGCTAATTCCCACGAGGGAGGATACATCTGCGTCGGTCCAAACTTCCCTCTCCCATTCCTCGGTGGCCTGTCTGGTCCCGTCGAGGGACCGGCGTTGAGACTGACCGCAATGTCTGACGTAAGCTTCCAAGTAATGTGTGCAACAAAATATGCCGATCGTCACCACTGACGTTGATAGACTTCATCGCGTGATTGCGAGAGTTGCGGACTTTATTCTGGCTATTGTTTTCTTGTTCGTGCATGTGACTGAATAGACCTTTGCTGTGAATGAATTTGCTGGTACATTGTGGATAGCGGTGGTTAATTTGAGTGGCGTTGGCCGGAGCTCTTGATACCGGTTCTACAGCCATGCTACGGATTCGCAGGCGTCCTATCAGGTCAATGCTGGATGGAAGTGCACCATTGCGATGGGCACAGATTTGCAGTGTATGATTCACCAGCTGTGTCGTGGTGGCACCCCCTCAAGGCGACTCAAAGTATTCCATCAGGACAAGTCGGAAGGGAGGCGTGCGGCCAGTGAACGTAGGTAGGGGCAAGGGGGTGTGTTTACTGATGGCGTTTTGTGGTGTGGGAATGGGGGGGAGGGTTGCGTTGACATTGCAGCGTATGCGGAGCCGAAAGAGGTCAGTCTCGGTTTTGGACGTGAGGTAACAAAAGAATTACGCTGTTAGGGGTCGGACTTTGATAACCTGTCGCGGCAGCATTCTATTCCTGCACCTCAGTCGCTTTGTTTTGGCTTCTACATTCGGCCGTCGAGGATTAATTCTTCATTTCTTGCGGCAGATCACCAAGCCCGCTGGTATGAATATGTTTTTCCCAGAGGAGAAGAAGACAGTCGCCGGAGCTGAGATTTTAGTCATTTGATTTCAGTTTCACCCTCGAACCTATCGTCAGAGACTGCCCAGGATGAGGGCAGCGAGCGCACAGGAGGTGCAGAACGTGATGGATGCAGTGGCTGCGCAAGCAACTTGCCAATTTGCTGGCTCTCGCATCAACTGATGGCGCAATGATTACTTTGTTGCCCGCACCCGAGTCCTTGGTCGTGCGGTTTCGTTATTGGTATTACTGATTGGGCAGTTGGACTCACCAGTACTTTCATGGATAAAGGCGTTCATCCCCACGGGTACGGTCACTTCCCAGGTCAGAGAACCATAACCCGGGCTGCCCGTAGCTCTCGCAAAGATTCGAGCCTTGTCGGCACTGGTCATGCTTTCAAGAAATGCAGGCTGCCTGGATGGCTCGCAAGGCCGAAGAAGGTTAATAATTGACGAGATAACGTGGACCTCGCAGATGGCCCAGTACGCGTTGTGTGGAGTGGCGGAACAGCTTCAATGGCTCCTTTTAATGTGGCTTTTGCGGCACTCTCAACCTGTGAGGTCCGAGTTGGGTGTTACGGGACGCCTAGGGCCAGCTACGGCCGCGCCGGCCGTCGCTCTTTTTGCTGTTGTTGGTTAAAAACCTGGTCAAGTGTTTGTTGTAGATGAAGGGGTTTAGTGGTACTCCTAGATATGCGTCCGGCCGTGCCAACGACCTGCGCCCTCTCCCGCCTCTGGTCTTCTAGACTATGTCTTCACACCGAGCCGGTGTGGGGGTGCAGTAGATGTTGTGTAAGCCTACTATCACTATAGACGGAATTACGCACAAGTCACTGTGTTTGCTCTCGCTCCGCTGTGGAGCACACGGCGGACATCCTCAGTCACGACGGTCGAACTGTCATGTGGCTGGGTCCTGTCGAGTGAGCCGCGATTCGAGTCATAGCGTCATTCTTCACTTCTTGTGCGTAATCGGTCATTTGCTTTCCGAGTCATTTTCCTGCCCCTCACACGTAATTCCTTTCATTTTACGCAAGAGGCCTGAAAGCTTACATGTTGCCTATCATAGTTCGCATGGTTCGGGGCATGGCAGGTGGACATTTCTCCAGAATAATTTTGACCGCATTGTGGTTTAAGCTTAGGTCATTTTTGTTATCCATCCCGACTGTCCTTGAGAAGAGTACCGGGTTATCCCGTCTGCTGGCAGCCATCCAAGCCGCGGCATTTAGCTCACCGCGGTATATTCGGGCGCGTCAGTTTGCTTGTAAAGAGAGAGATGTGCACTGACAGGGTAGACCATACGCTCTCTTCCCTCTCCCAGAACCAGTCCACTGTCTGAACCGGTCGGTCATCGGAGGCGAAGATGGGGCGCAGTGGCTAACAGAGTTAAAGAGCCCGATTGCGCGTGCCACACATGGCCTGGCCCTCCACACAACGCACTGCGATTTCACCCGAAGCAGTGGCTTTTCGGATGTCATGCGTGAGAATTCCATGGAATCTAAATTCAGAAGGAGCCATCGAATTCAGACTTCCAGTTTACCAGTTGGTCATTCCACAAAAACATAAACTGGGCTGACTGTGAGGTCTTATGCAAGCAATCTATCATTTGTTTATCGGATAGGGGAGACAAATTAAGCTTGATCAGTCTTTTTGGATATGTCAGAGTCCTAAAACCGTCCAGCAGTCTTGTTGCCGGTCGTTACACCTGCCCGGTGGTGTCACTGTCTTTCGTCATTCGGGGCATTAACTATGGCATTCCATATTCTAACTATGGTCTTGTGAACGCAGCAAAGATTCGCTCGAGAAATTCCGGAGGAAAAGCTACAAAAGCACGTCTAATCCAGTGCATGATGTTCGTTGCCTTTTAGGTGACTTTTTGCAGTGTTTAGGGGCAGCAAGTTCGAAGTTGTCCAGAAACATACATCTTTGCGTGTATCCACTTCTTCTAGTAGAATCCAAATTACACAGTAGCACTGTTCTGGAAAACGTCGCCGACCAGCTTTCCAACGTAAGACCACATTTGGATTCATTAAACGTTAGAAATCATTTAGTGGGTCATGCGGCCGGTTTACCAACGTGCTCGTGCACTTTTTATGCGTCGTCAGCACAGCTTGTTGTTTTCTGGATTTTTTTATCATCTGCAAACATGATGACATCACAGTCAAAATCAGTACAGTCGAGGAGAGGACCTAAGACCGAATTCTGTGGGATACCCCTTTCTACTAGTACCAGTTTAGTAGCTGTAGCACTAACAATAACTATTTGCAGCCTGGCCTTGCACAAAATTCAGGTTAAACTAATGGGACGCCAGTTTTCTTTCTTCGTCCTGGACTTTCGTTTGTAGATCCTCCGACAATTCTTCTTCTTCTTCTATTGACTTTTGTGACATCACAGACACTGGCTCGCATAGTACGTCGGCCAATTCTCGAAGGGCGCGCTTCAGTCGGGGTACTTCTGTCCTTATCAATGTAGGCGAGAAGTAAAGATTATCTTCTAATGCAGCTGCTGCAGAATTCTGTTGTTGTGCTGGGTAAGT